TGATCCCGCCTGGTTGTGCGTCTCACGGCGGGCGCGGTGACGCCTATCGCCACACCTATTTCCCCCCCCCCCCCCTCCCCCACCATCCGACATGCCCCGCCCGTTCGGCGTGAGGTGATGCAGTGCTTCAAGGCGTACGAGAAGGCCAAGAAAAAGGCCGAGGACGCCGAGTACGCTTGGCTGCAAGCGTGTGAGCACGCCGTGGACTTGCATGGGCAGCACGATCGGGCAAGGAAGCTGGTAATCGACACAGGGGGCTTGTGCAGAGCACGGGGGCGCAAGGCCTTAGGCTTCGGCGCGTGAGTGCGTGGATACGCAATTAGGTCCGAGTGTGTAAACACCGTTTCCCACGAGTTGCGCCTGTCGCGGGGAGGGCGGGCGCTTCGCGCCATGCGCTAAGAAAACAATGCCTGGATCGAGCTCGTCGGGGCAGCGTTGCAACCTGTGCAAATCTGGGGTCAATTGTTAGGGGGGAGTTGGGGATGTGTGGCTTATCGGCTCAGTTGCAATAGGTTTTGCACAAGTTATCGTTTCAGTTGTGGAGGGGCAATGGGCAAGTCCCGCAAGACGATCGCGATGGATGCCCAGGCTCGCCAGGACTGGAAGGAGGACAAACATGTCAGGCTGACCAACGCTAACATCACCAAGGTAGCATGCAAGGCCGAGTTCTTGTGTGCATCGAAGAAGGTGGCCTCGTGTGTGAAAACACGTAACACTCATTGCAATGACATTAGCCGCCGCACTAGAAATTGCAATTGCATTTGAATTTGGTGGCATTGAATGCCTGTGCCCTGTATATGTGTGTTTTGTTTTAGCGCACGATTCCCAGGTTCTCGAGAAGTTCAAGAAGTTCGAGGCCGCCAAGAAGAAGATGGAGGAGGCCAAGAGCGAGTGGATGGAGTCGATCGGCGATCGCATCGATGCCCACGCTGAGTGGGAGAACGCGTGCGAGCAGCACGCGAGCATCAAATCAGAGCGCATGCCGCGCTGAGCTTGCCGCGCTGGGGCCGTGTCGGGCGAGGTTTCGCAAGTGCGATGATATGTTCAGATTCGCAATGGTCCACGTCAAATGGTCAGTGGTCACGCCAATCATGCCTTCCATTTGATTAGCATGCCGAGCAAGGGGGTGGACCCATCCAAGTCAGTGTTTGTCAAGCTGCGCCCAGCCGTGGCGACGACGATGGCTGACCCCCCCCCCGCCCCTCGAGAGGACTACCAACCCCCCGAGAGGACTACCAACCCTCGCGCTGTTGGTTTGTTCGACACCCCTGTTGACCTTTGCCTCATCGCCAAGCGCGCACGCGTCATCGCCGTGGGCTCCGTAACCATTTTGGCTCAAACAGTTTTGCGAAATTGCATATCGCTTTCTGCTGCGTAGCAGCAATGACGTCGATACGTGATGCGCTGGCCGAACTCAATCATATGATTGATTGGCATCAGACCCAAGTCGGCTGCGGACTCGACGCAAAGACATGCGCCGACAACCAGATGCAGTCGCTGTTGTCGAGAGTGCGATCTTTCGGAACGATCAGCACTGACGACGCTACGCTCTTGGTGGGCACAATTCGGGACAATGCGCTCCCAGACTGGCCCCCTGATCAGATTGCAGAAATCTGCACGGCGGTAGGGCAGAAGACGGGTGTGCTGACCAGCACCGCAGATAAGAAGTGGCAGAAGGTAACTGCATTCTCGCGCTTCCTTTCGGCGTCTGAGGCGACCAAGTTAAAGAGCGGCGACATGTCGCAGAAGGCGATGATCGCCATGGTGTGCAAGAGGGCTCATGCGATCGGTATGTGCGCTCTGTCCGAGGGGAGCAAGGGTCAACTCGCAGCGGTGGTATCGTCCCAACTCACTGGCGTTACCAACGACATGTGGTACGACATTCTGGTGCAGGTCAAGCTGAAGCTGGCTACCATGAAGGCACGAGACTGGAAACACAGAACTATATGGGAATACGATTCTCCAGACTCCCTCGAGAGCGAATCGTGGTACTATACCGCGTACCCCGAGGGAGACCCGCCACACGGGCAGGACTGGTGCATCGACGAGCCCGACTTCGTGCGACTGAGCAGTCGCTTGATGAAGGGCGGCAAGCAAGCGGCCAAGCAAGTGCGGGGCGACCGCCCCGCCCCGCCGCCGCCGACCGCCCCGCCCCCCGCCATTTGCGACTTCGGCGCCTACCAATCCATGTACGGGACGATGAACGCGTACCATATGTACGCTCATCCAGGAATGGTGCCTCCGCCAGGGATGGTGCCTGGCCCATCGCCGCACTCTTGGTCGCCTCCGCCAGGGATGATGCCGAAGCCCAAAGCGCCACCGCAAGATGCGCCCTCACCACAGGAGGCGCCCCCGCCTGCGGCCCCACCAGCCGCGGGAGGAATGCCCGCCCCGCTCGGCGACTTATCTGATGAGGAGGCAGCGCTTCGCAAGACAATGCGCTAGCGTAAGGAGGCCGTGGCCCTGAGTAAACGTCCAGCAGCTGCTGGGGGCGATGCCGATGGCGTCGTGGGCGCCGACGACGATGGCGACGAACTCGCCGACGAGGAGGGGGGCCCGCCGAAGAAGGTCATGAAGGGCGCCCCGCCGAAGAAGGCCATGAAGGTGGTCATGCGGAGGCCCTCGGCGAAGCCGAGGCCCACGGCGAAGCCGAAGCCGCTGCCCAAGGCCCCGCTGACGGGGGCCCCGAAGATCGAGTACCGCGCGGGGTAGATACTCACGCAGCCAGACAAGTCCCAGTACAGGGCTGTCCTGGGGCGGTCCGACAGGCGCATCCGCTGGGACACGGGCAGCACGCGCCAGGAGGCTTTCACCCAGGCGATGAAGTTCATAGACGAGCGCTCGTAGCCGCTTGTCTGCTCTGCTCATCGCCGATCGCGACTTCTCGCGATTTGTTTCGCTGTGCTATAACGCTTGTGTGCATTGTTCATGTATGCCTGCATGGTGCAATGTAAAATGCAAGTCGTTGTCCCATCGTATGCGAGGGGCACCCGTCTTTTTTTTTCGTTTTTTTCCTTTTTCTTTTCGCACAAATTCCTCGCACAATTAATCCTCCTCTGGCTTGTTTTTCGATTGCAGATTTTGCGCATTCATGCTACCAATCAATCCAGTTAGAGTAGTTGTGGCCCCTCTTCACCTCAAGCCACATTGTCGGCGTGGGGCCACCGCGAATTGGGCCACCCGAAGTTAGCGTCGCCAAAAGACAGAACCGCTCGGACCGCGCGAACTCCGATTCGAGCTTTAGCAACTAGAGGCAAATTAATTAAGCTCCTGATTTGAAGATTATCACAGTAGGCACAAAATTACGGATCTGAGCGGATTGTCTTACTAGTCTTTACCATACATCTCATGTACCGTACGAGGTTAATCGGTATTATACCAGGGTAACAATTTCCGCGGTTTTCGTTTATTGAGGGTAAGTGAGTAACAGCGCAAGGCAGCCGACACAGGCAGGTACAGAAATGTAGAACAGAAAATTAATTTCGGTTTGCGAATCGAACCAGTACGGTGACGTGCTTGTCGGCATTGATATGCCATTGAACAGCGGTAAGAGCTTCAAGAACAGGGCGTGCGCCCCTGGCCCGTACTTGTACTCGACGGCGAAACGGAGTAAGGGGTTCAGAGATCTGTTGCGCCGCCAGCTCGCCAAGCACCCGTGCTCCCTAGCATCCCCATGGCGCATCTGCTTATATTTCGACGGTATCACACCGCGTGACCCGTTGGCCAAGGGCAAGTCCACGAGGTGTGGATTTGCTGTATACTGGTCATTTTAGTGTTCGATGAGGGTTTTTGCAGGCGAAGACGATGGCTTGTGCTCAGCACCGTCGGGTTTCAAAGTGAGGGTAGGACATGCCTGGAGGGATCGGGCAGTCGGTTGCAATGACGTGCAACGAGCTCATGTTCAATACGTCTGGCGGGGTGAACTTTCGTACGACTGGGGTTATCTTGGACGTGTCAGAAGCAGGGGATGCCACAAGGCACGCGACTATAATCGCGAGGTTGGGCTGCACTGTGGGCGACGAAGAAGCCCTCCGTGAATTCCACATGAACAAAGGGCACGCGGGCACCAAACCGCGTGCCATCTGCAGGAACGTGCTCAACCAGAAGTTCGACGATGCGTCGCACGACACGTCTGGTACATTTATATCGGACGCATGCCTCGACAGAAGCAAACGCGTCGTCAACGCAGACGCGCAGATCGTTGCTATCTTGGAAAGGCTACGCCCCGACTGGGGGAGGTACGACCGCGGTGAGATTAG